ATTTAAAGCATTATTATCCGATATAAAAGCAAAACTGGCTTTTCTTAATCAATTATTGAAGAGTGATGAAGGCACTGCAATGCAGTCAAGTGAAACAGTAATTACAGCACTCAGGGACAGAATCAATGAATTACCAAAAACAGAGCCAAATGATAATGGAGAAATTTACTACTTCATAAACAAACAGCAAATGACTTCATTGAGACAATGTGCTATAGGGACTGTAACAGATTTGAGGGCAGCAGACTGTTTAACATTAAAAGGAGAGGAATCTGTGATCACAGATCAGACAATTATTATCAAAATAATCAAAACAGATGAACATGAAATATATGCAAATCAACTGAAGGCAACATGGACACAGCCTACAGGGGAAACCAACATCTCTCAAATTCAGGAAGATGACAATGGAGATTATTTTGTGACAGGAAAATGCACAAGTCCAGGAGTTTGTAAACTAGATGTGAGTGCTGATGATGAACCAGTTAACCAATCACCAATGATAATCAAAGTAAAAGGGGGAAGATTAGTAAATACTATTCATATAAATGCAAAAAATATTAGAGATGTAGTTAAGTGTGAAGATGACTCCTTACTGGTTTCATGTTTGACAAATGAAATGCTCAAGTACAAGCAATCAGGAGAATATATTGGTAAGATTACACTACCACAAGGTGTGCAAGTTTACAGAATGTACAAACTGAAGAATGGTAACATAATATTCAGTGATTTGAATATTAAACCTATCAGAATATGCAATATGAATGGTCAGGTGATTAAAACAATTAGTGAGGGAGTATGGATATCACCAGGGTGTATTCATGTGGATGAGACATCTAATGTTTTGTATGTAGCAGGTTTGTTCAGTAGCTGTGTGCACATGCTTAGCATGAATAATGGCAAGATCATCAAAACAATAGGGTCAAAATTTACAAAAGAAGGTCAAGTGAGAAATGTCAGTGATCTTACTCTTACTAATCAAGGTCACCTTCTTGTATTGGAGTATAGCAACAGTACATTACAATTATTTAATAATGTGGGAAGGTTCATAAAAGTCCTTGTTGAAGCAGGTAATGAGGATGGTAAGGTAAAATCTCCAAGAGCAGTAGTAGTTGATGAGGATGACAACATCATTATATCAAGTCAACACAAACTACAGCTATTCAGTAGTGATGGAAATTTCGTTAAAATAATTAATAAACCAGAAGATGGAATCAACTATCCACGGGGATTATCAATCATTTCATATCATCCAAGGAGACTTGCAGTAGCAAATGATGGTGACAATACAGTAAAAATATTCAATTATTAAATACTGACAGTTCACTTGCTTCACTTGTGTGTATTCAACAATTCAAATTTATAAGTGTAGGAATATCTACATATCCATTATTTCATATCATCCACATAGAGTTAAGTTATGAATCTTAAACTTAATATAATTATTGAATACAATAGTATCAAAATATTAAGTTGGCATAATGTTTATAAACTTGTTAAAATATTTGATTATTGAATATGATATACATAGAGCTGTTTTTTTGTTTTTTGTTTAAACTGTTAAAATATTAATTATTCTACACAAATGATCATATCACAAATCATATAGAGTTGAAGTTATTAAATAATTCAAGCACACTAATAGACCACATATATGTATCTTCACCAGAAAGAGTAAGGAAAGTGGTGTTCTCCATACTGGCCTGAGTGACCACTCAGCTATATATATTGAATTCGGCAAGGTAAATAAACAGAAAAATAAACACAGATATAAGAAATGTAGAAACTTTAAGAATTTTGATGAAGCAAAGTTTAGAACTGATATATTAAATGTAAACTGGACAGAAATCACAACTTACACAAATGTGGATGATGCTGTTCAATATTTTGAGGAAACATTTCTAAATATTGCCAATAAGAATGCACCGATAAAATGTAAAAGGATGAGACACAAAAACAGCCCATGGCTAACGCAAAAAGTCTTAAAGCTTATGAGAGAAAGAGATGTTCTAAAAAGGAGAGCCAATAAGAAAAATGAACCCAATATGTGGACCGAATATAGGAAACTAAGAAATAAAGTTAACATTGAACTTAGGAAATGCAAAAAAGAGTATTTTACAGAACAACTAAATACAAAAGACCCAAAGAAGATTTGGGATAATATCAGATTTATAGTACCAGGTAAGAATAAAAATACGAACATAGCAAGTGTGAAAACTAATAATAGTGATATAACTAATCCAGAAGATATTGCAAACACATTAAACCAGTACTTTGCAAATATTGGTCCAACACTTGCCGAAAATATTCCTCATGTTGACCCACCTGTCAATACAAATAATAATGATACTACTAATAATACTAATAATACTAACAATGATAAATTTACTTTTGGAAATGTTGATGTAGAGTATATCTATACACTCTTAAACTCGCTTTCATCAAAAAAAGCTACTGGAATCGATAAAATACCAGCTAATATGGTTAAACTTGTCATTGATATAATTGTTTATCCTGTAACTTACATTGTAAATTTGTCCCTCTCAAATTCATCTGTTCCAAAAAAGTGGAAAAAAGCTCAAATTTGCCCAGTGCATAAAGGAGGTTCTAGAAATGACTGCAATAATTACAGGCCAATTTCAGTCCTTCCAGTTCTATCAAAAATCCTTGAAAGAACTGTTTTTGAACAATGATATCATTTTTTAAACCAAAATGACATGCTATATGAAAATCAATCTGGCTTTAGGCCAGGCTATTCAACAACAACCGCATTACTAAATATCACAGAAAACTGGTTAGAAGCAATTGATAAAGGAAACCTTATAGGAATAGTAATGATTGACCTTAAAAAGGCATTTGACACAGTAGACCACCACAAACTAATCAACAAGCTTTATTCTTTCAATCTTCACCTAAGTATTATCAAATGGTTCACTAACTATCTTCAAGACCGTACTCATATAACTAATGTAAATGGAGCAGATTCTGAAGAATGTCACAGTATATGTGGGATCCCTCAGGGGTCTATATTAGGACCCTTGCTTTTCCTCCTGTATATGAATGATTTCCCTAGAACTGTCGATAAATCCACAGTTTCAATGTATGCCGATGACACCTGTATATATTATGTAGATAAAAATGTTGATAATTTAACTGCAACAATTAATGATGATTTGATAGAAATTAAGAAATGGCTCATATCTAATAAACTGAGTTTAAATGTTAAGAAAACTGAATACATGATAATAGGCTCGAGACAAAAATTATCAAACATATCAAATCTTCAAATTGATATAAACATTGATGGAGAACCTATCACTCGTGTTAATCAATGCAAACATCTTAGTGTAATTCTTGATAAGAATCTTTCTTGGAGTTCACAAGTAAGTCATGTGAAATCTAAGGCATTGCAGAGCTTGTACTATCTAAAAAAGACTAGCCAAATTCTTTCAAAAGATGTTCAATGCAAACTGTACAAATCCCTAATGGCTCCACACCTCGAATATTGTCATGTCATATGGGGACGCTCAAATCAAATTCAAAGTAAAACGCTTCAAATTCTTCAAAACCGGGCAGCAAAAATTATTACAAACAAATCAAGAAGTGACTCCAGTACACAAGCTCTTCAAAGCCTTAAATGGATGAATTTGGAACAACGATTGTATATAAATGAGACTATTATCATGTTTAAAATTATGAACAACCTTGCACCTCAATATCTATCAAACAAATTTCACTTTAGAAATAATTACTATGATACCAGAACTAAACCAATATTAACACTACCAAAACCAAAAACTGACTATAAAAAAAAAAGCTTATCATATAGAGGTGCAAAGATTTGGAATGAACTAAATGACGATCTAAAAAATTGCAAAAACATTTCCTTATTTAAAAAACATATTATGGCAAATTTTACAAAGTGTTGTAGTTATTATTTTTGTATACTGTAAAATTTGTGCCTTATACACGGCCTTGCAGAAAAACAACTGCTAGTTGAGCCAAGTTTCCGTGTTGAAATAAAGCTTATTATTATAAACTGAAAACAATAATACTGTAATCTGCCAACCTCAACTGTTTACAGTGTAGTTCTCATCAAAGTTGAATCACACACTATTGATCTTATGATTTTATATTTTTGTAAGTGTAAGTTTTTAATCATATAATGCATATACATGTTATTTTCTTGCATATTGATGTTAAAAATGTTACTTTTCAATCTATTGGGGCTTTTTTGTACAGCCTATGAACTTGTATCTCTTTGATTTTCATAAATTTTGATAATTTTTGAAGTTTGTTTATTCTTTCTTTAGTACCTGTTTATTTTTTCTGTTTTTTTTGTATAAAAAAACCTAACAAGCACACAACAGAGTGTATATTATAAATACACCTATGGGCATTCATCCCTTAAATGAATTAAGTCATGAGTCAGAATGAATAGAGTCAGATTGATTATTCGTGTATATATTTAATTTTTCTTATAAACTTGAATCTGCATAAATAATCTGATTCAAAGTAGTGGGACAGGGATATATTTAAAAGGGGGTTTGTAAGCATTTTATTATTTCATCATTATAAAAAGGAATACTCTGTATATGATTTAGGTAGTTAAGCTTGGCTTTTTTTTGCATTCATCATAAATTTTAATCTTTATACAACCTAATAAATTTATAGATTTTCATGTACACTTTGACAATAAATTATCTGAATCTGATATGTATGTACAGTATAATTGTTATTACTATATATGATTAACAGCAAGCTTAGCTTTTGTTGACATTTATTTGTAAATATTAACCTGCATTAAAACCCATTCCATTTTATATTTCTTCATGGTATACTTTGTCAATAAATCATCTAAATCTGTATAGATGTCCGTACAGTTAAATTGTTATTCATTTCTGTGGCTTACTTTAGCAGTACAGTACTGTTATCCAGTACACAGTTTCTACTTCAGTTTCTTGTATTACAGAGAACTGTATTTCATGATTAATCAAGATTGAATCTTTTGATTAGTTCTTATCAACACAAATCAAACAGTTGATCATACCTTACTAAAAAATCTTTGAAACTGTCTGATGGCTCTCGGCGGACTACATGACACAGTAAATACTAAGCTCTGCCTCCTCATCATCTGTGTTCTGATATCAACGAAATAAAAAGAAGAGTTTACTAGGTGTTCCAGATACCCTTACGATTTATTAATATACTAATTGAAATTGAGACAAAGGAAGTTTCTTCTTGCTTAAAAAATAAGTTCAATTATCGTTATATTTTTTATATGAGGACAGAAATTTCCATTTAGTTTTTGATGTAACATGTTGGTACAACACCTACAATTGACTTGATATTAAAATACATTATAAATAAAATTAAATAAATACCTTCCAAATGAAAAATATTAAAAAAGGAAAAAAAAAATGTTGTAAGCTCCCAATGTAGTAAATTCCTTACCTCTTGTTTCTGGGCCTACACTGTAACACTCTGCTTGTTCTATGATCCTCTTAAAAGTTGCACTATTTGATTATCAAGATCTGCAAAATTGTCTTCTTCATGTTTGTTCGTACTACTTGCTTCCAGCTCCTTCTTATCCTCCACCTGCAAAGCATAGACTCTCCTGCCATTGTTTGATATGAGAAGGAATTAAAAAACTTTACTATGGTTGAAAGAGCATCATGTATTAAAAAACAGACAGAAACATTAGAATTTTACACAAATCAATATTAGAGTGCTTTAAATTTTACAGACTAATATTAAAGTGCTTTGAATATTTCATGCAGATTAAAAAATGTGTTTTACTAAAGTAAAATAGAAATACCCCGGCCCTAACCATATTTTCAAAATTTTAATTTCAATCAGGCGAGCAAAACATTGATATAGTTTTCATCAACAAGAAAATGAGTCATACCTTACTTGAAAATGACAAGCAAACCACATGACACGCAGTAAATACAAGCTCCACCTACTCATTTTCAGTTTTCTGAAATCAAAGAAAGGGCTATTGCAAGTCATCTATTAAGTAATGGTGTGTCAAGTGTCGTGTGTGTAGGTACATTA